GCCAGCACGAAGCGGGACGGGAGCGGATGCATGTATGTGCTTTGCTGCGCATCCGCCGAGAGAAGTCCTGGATGCCAAGCGTGGATAAATGGGTTTCAGAGCAGTTCCATATCCCCGGGGGGAGAGATAGGAGGAGGTCCTCCTTACCGAGTGCTCCGTTGCAGTTCCAGGTGCCCAGAGAGAAGGTGGAAGGGCCAGGATGTAAGGCCTCACCATAGCGTAGCGTAGGAGGTCCCTGCCATGGACCAGATGGGCCAAGGAGACCCAAGGGGTGGTGTGACTCAAAAATGGTAGTGGGCTCAGGAGAGCCAGAAAAGAAAAGGTCATGGCCGGAAGGATCAGTGGGGCTGGCACCCACAGCCAAAGTGCCCCAGAAAAGACCCAGCAGCCATAAAATCCGGCGAGGAAAAGGGCATGGAGACAGGGCGCCGGTGGCCTGCCTTTGCCTGAGGAGCCAAGAGGAGCGGAGCTTCTTGTTGAGCAGGGCTTCAATGTTGCCGAAGCCCCTGCTCAATCTCCTCACGAAGCTCTGAGTTGACCGCCTGTAAGGTGGTGCTGTTCTGCGTGACCGCCTGCTCCAAATTGGAGAGTTGGGTCTGGTGAGAGGCGACCTGGTTGGCCACCATGTGCAGCTTGTGATTGGCCTCTTGGTTGGACTGAGCCGCGTCCTGAAACCAAGATTCGAACTTGTGGTTCTGCTCTTTGATTTCCCGCATATCGACTTCAAGTTTGCTGAGCCGATCCTCTGAATCGTCTGCCATGTGCTGGTCCAAGTGGGCAGTGGATTGCTGATGCAGTGAGCTCTGGACCTGTTTGAGCTCCAAGGAGAGCTGTTGCCATTTGCCGGAAGGAGCCGCGGAAGAGGAATGTTGTGCCGCTGCTGCCCATGGGTCCTCTCCCAACGCCCAAGGGTCCTGAGCAAGACCCGGAGGGGCGTGAATTTGGGAGCGAAGGAGCTGGTTCGTACGAGTGGAAGCCAACAGAGGTGCCGCTGGGGGCGGGGCCTTGGCCGCATGTGAAAAGGAGACCAGAACATCCCCCGTGGACAGAGTGAGAATCTCCCCTGGGGGCTTTGAGACCGCTCCGACTTGCCAGCAGAGGCCGTGGCTGTCGCTGCGTACCGGTTGCAATGGCTTGGCCCGCCATTTCCATTGGTTGAGAGCCTTCTGAAGACCAGCTCTCTGAGTGCCGAAAGGCAAAGGGTACAGGTGATAGATCTCCTGGATGTCGAGCGGAACGAAATCCTCACCGGGTCGGAGTAGTTTGTGCGCTTCGGGCAGGTCCGTTGCGAGGAACCGCAACCCAATCTTGGAGCCAAAGCGGGCCAGACCAAGTGCGCCTTTGACTGACGATCGCTTGCACAGGATTTCGGACAGGGTAGCGCCAGGAAGCCAAATGACTCCAAAGCGTGAGTCCGGCGAGCGATCATCCCTGGGTTCGATGAAGATGCCAGAGGCCCCGGAGACGGACAAGAGCACCGTGCAGGCCGATTTGGGGATCCGTGCCATGATGGACCATGTGGTGCTGTCTTCTGGCTTAGCCTTGGAGCCAAGGTTATGGAACTGCCTGGCCCAGAGATCCAGTATCAGAGGAGTGACCTCATCGACAGGAGGGTGGTACATCGGGCATTGGTCTCCGCAGCTGTTGAGGCGGCACGTGCGGAAGAGCGGTTGGACCACCTGGAGCTGTCGAACCGGACTCTTGACAAAGGCTTGCCAATCGCCAGGCAAGGCATCCTTGTATACCACAATCCGGACTGATTGGGTAGGAGTATGCTCAACTTGAAGGCTGGCATTCAAGTGTCTGGTGATTTGGCCCGTGCCGAGCTGGATGAGTGAGCCACTGACGAGGACTGACTCCTTTGTGGTGCAGTGGTGTGCCGGAAAGCGAAGATCCACGATCGGCAAATTGCCGCGGGCATCAGTTGGCACCGGAGTTGTGGAGAGAAGGGCCAGTGGTTTTGTAGCAATGGCCTTGTCCTGTTGAAGGAAGGGGAGTGCCTCCTGCACAGTGCAAAAGGCAATGCCTTGCTGGTCCGGACCGACCTGCCTGAACGGTAGCATCGTAGCGATGGACCCATCTGAACACTTGAAAGTGTCCGGGACGAGGGCAAGTTGCTGTGGGTCAGGAAGAACCAGGGCCGGCATGTTCCTGCCTGTTTTGTCAGGCTTGGCTTTGCGATTCGAGGGCTGAATCCTGAACTGCGACTGTGCTGAGGTGCGTATTTTCGCCTCCAATTCGTCGTGCTTGATCCACATGAAGGCTACCTTCGAGGCAACAGCCTTGAGATGGGCCCAAGGGTTTTTACCTGCGAGGGCTTGTGTGATCTCTGCTGGGGGCAGGTGTCGGAGTGCAAGGTCGATCCTTTCTTCCACCTTGTCATCGGGAACACCCTTGTCCACCAAGAGGGCGGAGAGTGTTTGCCGGGCCGGATTTGTGAGCGGGCCACAGCCGAAGGGACCAAAGCCGTGAAAGGAGGCCTGGAGCAAAGTTGTCAGGCCGACGGGGTCCTCAGTGAAGCCCGAGCCATCCAGGCCAAGAGCAACCGCCAGATGAGCAAGCATGACACATCCACAGGTGGTGGATTCGAACTGTTGGAAGTGGCGGCGCATCGTGATCAATGGCATTGGCAGCTGCCAGAAGCGTGCCAGCATGGAGACAAGCTGAGTAGCTTCCGAAAGTGGCACCGAGAAAAGGCCGTCGTAACAGAGAGCCTCGAGCTGGGTCTCATCAAGTCGTAGATGAATCAAGCACCAGTGGCCCTGTGCCACGAGCGGGATGAGACATTCCCTGGGTGGACTGGCTGGGATGGCTACAATGCCAGCATTGTGCAGCACAGCATGGGCTGTCCAGGGATTGATGATGAGAGGACTCCGTGGTGAGTAGTCCAGCAGGAGAAGGGAAACTGACCAAATGTGGGAAGCCGCAAGGCCCGGTTGGTGGGTGGTAGAGAGATGGGTAGTGGTAGTGGGCAGCCCAAAGCCAGTGGGGTCGTAGAGGAGAAAGATGCCGGATGTCCACAAACGCTGGTCAGCCGGTTGCATGCTGCCATCCAGTGAGTAGATCGGGATGCCGTAATGCCACTGTAAAAAAATCCCAAAGTAGCTGGAAGAGGAAAGTGCCAGCAGGCACACAGTGCACGAAGGGGCCATGCTCAGTGAGGATCTGAACGCAGAGCGACGAGGGCGGCTGCGGCAAGCTGGCCTTTTTGGTCTGCAAGACCAGGTTGTAATGCCTGCCCTGCGCATGAAGGATGGCCTCCTGTGAGAGCACGTGCTGGCCATCGATGACCCTTGGGATTGTCCCCCAGGGTCGCCATTTGTGCTCAGCCTGGAGCAGGTCTGCAAGTTGAAGTAGCCCAGTCCTTGAAGTAGGGATGGGTGTGCCCTCGTGGTGAATGCAGATGGGCGCATCATTGTGTGAGGCCTGTAGAGGCCAGAGATGGTGCCGATCAAAGAGCAGGTGTTGCTTGAAGTCCCTGAGGGCATGCTCAGGGGAGGGTAGTACGCTCCTGCTGGGAGCTTCATCGACGGCAAAAGCCTGGAGGAGATGGCCGATGACCCAAAGTGCCTGCAGGGGTGATGCCACCTGTCCCAGCAAGCAGAGACTGAGGAAGGGGTCATCACACAGGCGAAGTTGGGCTGGTATGGCCAAGAGGAGAGCCATCTCCTTTGGGTGCAAGTATCTGAGTTGATCCAAAGCCTGAGAAAGGACAAGGATGCCCCGAAGACCGCCGGTGCGAAGCCTGTGCAGGGTGAAGGGACCTGTGCGGCAACCACAGGGGCATGCCGAGAAGGCACATCCATAGGAGTGGAGGAGTGTGGGGCAGAGGCCCGTAAGCACAAGTTGCCGTTGATCGCTGCCGAAATCCGGGTCCTGAAAACACTGCAAGGCAAACTCCGAGGGGACCAAGCTGGTTTCCACATCACGGGTCCAAGTGGGCCATTCAGGGATGGCCGATCGAACCTGCTGAAACTCATCATCAATTGGCCATGGAACCAACAGGGAGAGGTCCAGCCGGAGGGGTGCCAACACCACCCACCACCTAGAACGGCGAGAGGGCCATTGGTGGTGCAAATGCAAGACCACGTCCTTGATCTGAAAACCCATAGCTGATGCCAATTGCAAAAGTGCGGTCTGTACTCCTGTGCAAAGTTTAGCACCTGGGACACATTCGAGGATGAGACCACGCACCTGCATGCAATAAGCACTCCTGAGAATACCCAAAAAGGCCAAACTGCGACTGTCCGACATGGCGCGTCCATCGCCCTGCGTTGAAAAAGGCTGGCAAGGAAATCCGGCAGCGAGAAAAGCTGGGAGTTCCGGGTGTACCTCGTGCAAAGCATGGGTGGCCTTCCAGTCGGTGATGTCCATCTCCAACACACAGGGTGAGTGGTAAACCTCACAGCAGTGGTGGTTCTTGTCCAACTGGGCCAGGACCCGGGCTCCGAAGGGCAGGGCACCAATGCCGATGCAGCCAATGCCCGCACAAGCCTCCTTCAGATACCTTCCTGTATTGTCCTGAACTGCATGGTGAACAAGTCGGGTGTGCCTATCTGGTGAAAGGGTCGGTCTGTCATCCTTCATAAACACCGGGACAAAGTAGATCGTTGCAGTCTCTCCCACAAGAAGCAGATCTTCCGGGATCCCAATGTGCTGAAGGGAGTGCATCACCACCGCGGTGTTCACCCCAATGCCCCTGATGGCGCCCGAAAACTTGGAGCCCACCGACGGGTTGTCCAGCCAACAGATGCGATCCGCATGGGCCATGGCACGGTGAACCACACTCTGGCGTTCGGCTGACGTAGGCTCACCAGCTGACAGGGGCCAGAGCTCGAGCCTCCCACTGAGAAACAAAAAACCAATGCCCCCGTCCAAAATCGGAAGCTAGGACTACTGAATCCCTCGAGCAACCTCCTTTTCCTCTCCCCTGATTTCTTTGGGACCAGATGTAATTGAGCACCCAACTCATTTCTCGTCCCATGTTGATGGCAGGGCTCTTCACCACCAGCAGCGTCAGCACCTTGCGCCAGGCGCTGCCATGCCAGGAGTGGGACCAGAACTCCGTGATGTGCTCCACCGGTTTGCTGACCTGACGGAAGGGCACCGAGATCGGGCCACACCAATATTTGGTATACCGTCGTGCACAAAAATGAGATACTATGCATCATGCAACCACCCATGCATCTTGCATGCAAAACTAATATTCATGCGCATGCCGCACGTATTTATAATATACATTCATATGAACTAAAGCCGCGTGCTCTGACATGGTTTGTTTAGAGTATACTCATGGCCCTTTTCTTCGGCTAATACTAAGCTCTTATGTTGTCAAGACTTAGCTCTTGTTCTCCAACACCGAGCTCTTATTGCTCAATACTTAGCTCCTTGTTGCGGGACAAGTAGCTTTGCTTTGCAGGGAACCAAACTCGGATTTTCCGGATTCTTAGCTCGTATGTTGGGGTTGCTTAGCTCTTATTTTGAGTGAAGTTAGCCCTACCTGTGTGGACATTTGGCTCTTGTTTGCAGATTATGCACTGCTCGTTGTTCGGACCTTGGGCATCTTGCAGAGACGATCGCTATCGATTGCTACTTATCTTGTGGGAAAATGGCTGTTTTCGGGATACTTAGCTGTGTTTTCGAGATGTGTAGCTCTGATTTCGGATTTATTGGCTCGTATTTTGGGCACGCTTAGCTCGCATATTGAGGTAGGTTAGACTATATGTTGTGGTCATTTCGCTCTTGTTTGCGGATTGCTTGCTGCTGGTTTTTCGGAGCCCGGTTCTTTCGTTCTAAGGCGGGCGCAAGTGGCAGGTTGTGAAACACTGCCGCGTGCGCTCGAGACAGCGCACCATTCAAACTTTAAAGCATTGTCATTACCGATTTAAGGAATAGAGGGAGCCTCTCATAAAGGACATCCTTCGCTCACGAGGGTCCAATTTTATCTGGTGGCATTGCAGCACAATCGGGTTGTTTTCAGGTTCAATTATCTGGGCTATAGGCAAATACCAAATCTCAAGAAGATGCGCTCATGGTTGACAAAAGACGCCAGTAGCATTTTCAACCTCAACCCGTCCAGTCAGCGGCACTGGTTGGGGGGAGAGAGACGAAGACGAAAACAGAGACACATGCAGCGGCAGAAACAAAGAGAGAGAAGTGTTCTGCCAATTAGCTACATGTCCTCGTTAAAGGGGACAAGGGTGAAGCGGCTTCTTTCCTCAAAGCCCTTTGAGCCGTGAACCCGCATCTTTGACATGTCCTTCCTGTCCGCCCTATGTATGTGTCCTTCCCAACGATGGCACAGGTATGAAAGCAAACCGCAGTTGCCCAGTGACCGTAGAACGGAACAAACCTGACCCCAGCGTGGAACCGCGCAGTGGAAGGCCTCGAAGGCCTTGTGGTCATCCACACGCCTGAGCGACTAGCCCAAGATTGAAGTTGCGTTTGGGAATGCAATTCGAATAATCCCTCTGAGTTCTGGGCCGGAACCCCTTAGCTGTACCAACCGGATCACGGGGGTTGATCCCATGTCGAAAACTGCACCCAGCTACCTTTCGTGCAAGTTTAATCACGGACTGGCAGGACAGTCCGTGAGAACATGTCAGGCCTCGACGCTCAAAGGGGGATTTTCCAAACGTTTCTTCAACAATGTGGGCTGCAACGGAGGGCTCCTCTTGATTACCTACCTGAACCGAAACAAACCCTTGTTCCAGCCAACGTGGCAACTGGTACCGAAACAGGAATGCATTATATACCTGTTCGCACAAGCGATTGCCAATAGGTCACCTCCTGAGTTCCGCAAAGGGGGGGTCTTCCGAGTGAGTCAATTTGACCAACAAAAAGGTGTGGATTTCCTATGATCCATGGCTGCTCCTGGGCGTTTGCCTTCAAGGTTTTGCGCTTTGGGACATGGAGCGTGCCCCCATTCAATGGACCTATGCTCTTGGAGAGAGGTTCCCAGTTTTCGCCAAACCATACCACTGGGCAGCGAAGCGTTAAGCGTCATCATCCAGCTGACCTCCAAGTCCAGGTGTTGTTGGATTGAAGTGATTCGACATCGGAAGATGACATGTTCAAAATCGTGATGGATCCCCAAAAAGGGGTGGACAATGTTTAATCCTTCCCGTCCCCCTGCACCAAAAGTGGGCAACGCTACTGACGTGACTACACGTGCGAGGGTCTGTGTGTGTGGGCGTGTTTTTTCTTGGGTGCAATTTAAGGTTGGTTTAAAGATCCAAATCCCTTTGACACGGACCCAGCTCAACACAAGTGACTCCAATTCCCCTGTTCCAAGGCGCTCAGTCAAAACGGCCCACGCACTCCGCAGCACCCGCCCTGCCGGCGCGCCCCGCAGAACCTCTTGCCGGGTGACCTGCGCGCAAAGCCCAACCCACGCCTTGCTGGCTCTGGAAGTCACAGCGCAGTCTGCAGCACTCCCAGACTCTTTTTCCGCAAGTGGCTAAAATCCAAAAACCAGGGCGGGCAGGGCTGCGAACACAGCCTCCTGGCTGTGTCAGCTTCCTGCCGGCCACAATCGGATTAAGGGTATGTGCATACCCCACGTTCCGCGTGAGTCCGTGCTAAACTGAAAAACTCCGGGCTTGCAAAATCCGCGCCCCAGAAACCGCAACCTAGTCAGCGTAAGGAAAACCAGCCCAGGTTTCCTGCATTTAAAGTGGCATCCGGGCCGGGCTGAGGATGTCCATACAAACGGTTCGGGGATCCGTCAAGGGCGCGTTTTCCTTTTTTTCAAAAAACTGCGGCCGCCACGATAAAGGGCTACCCCCTCTTCCATTGCCGGTCTTCTCTTGCATCTGGACGACCACCGAGATTCTGCGCTGCATGTCAAAGCCGGCGAAGTGTGAGTTGGTCTGCCCAAACGTTGGAGCATCGTTTGACGTGGTGGAGGGATGCAAAGACTGCCCTGTTTTGCTCTTGCGCTGAGAGCTCGTCCCTCTGTCTGCAGCGAACAAAAACAGGAGGAGCGACTCCAGGAGCTCCAAGGCGGCGATGCGTCGAGTGTGCTCCAGAAAGGGGGCATCGAAGGCAAACCACCAAACATGGCTCTCGTCTGGGTTCGGTGAGTCCGCAAGCCATCCTCCAACCGTTGCCCCGGAAATTCCCCCGCATCACTAGCACTGCATGCGTGGCAGCTGTTGGTCAGTCCATGGCGAAAAGGAGGTCAGCTTGGCCAGAAAGCGGACAAGCTGCCCCGGCTTGCATTTCCTCGTCAACTTCTGTTCCCATGGATAAAGTGGTTGCAGGTGAGGCGACAAGGTAGGGAAGGCCTTGGCCACCCACTGTAAGACGCCCAGGAGAGAAGCTACCCTGTGGCTTTGTGTGGAGCTTTCCCGAGTGCAGTTTGAGCAGGATAGGCTGTAATTTTTCCAGCTTCTCTTTTGGCAACCAGGCCGTGCCCTTGTTGATGTCCACCTGGTATCCCAGCCACAGATTTTGGGGGCCCAGGACATTCTTGTGCCAGGAGATGGGACATCCAACCAGGAGGAAGATGCCCGCCCTTTAAGGCCCACCAGCTGCGACTCTGCTCCAGTAGAACTGGGCAGAGGCGACCCCATAGGTGCCAACCATGTTATCCCAACAAAAGGTTCTTGATCGTAGCGATCATGTATTTCCAATCTCTGAGTTGTCCCCGCACCCACAGCAGATCATGTAGCGTGGGGGAGGTTGTCTTCTTGTTGGATGCTTTCACTCACCCCAACCTTCTACCGGTGGTTCAGGAAGGGGCAGATCGGCCAGATGTCTTGGAGGCAGACCACGGAAAGTGCATTTGTGACTTCATGGTGGAGATGCGGTCTGAGAAGCACCCTGTGGTCCCGCTGCGGTAGGTGGTGTGTGCAGATCATGCGCTTCCACTGCTTTTCAGAAGAGGCCCCACAGGACTTTTGTATGATCCACTTGGAATCCTCCTTCGATTGCCTCCCCGGGTTGGGGTGTAGGGCCACCACCTTGTTTAGGTCAAGTAGGGAACCGGCCGGGAACTCCCCCCAGAGAGGATCCTCTTGAGCACCCCCAAGCATATGGTCTGATCCTTCAAACTCAACCTCCGGCTTGGTCTTGTAACGCAGTTGGCAGGCGGCCCGCGGTCCCCCTACCCAACATGGCCCGTGGTCGACCATCCGGGGAGCTTCCAGCTCGCTCAGCTTCCTTTTCTTGAGGCTCGAGAAGGCATCAAGGAGTTCGGATTACCGCCAAGATTGACGTCGCTCGAAGCCTGCGATGGCATTTGGGCTGGTGTTGGGTGAGGATTTGCTTGGCGTGCTCATCAAGCTTCTCTACCCAGTCTTCGTATGCCTTGGGACAGGCAGAGGGAGGTCTCGCCACCGCCGTCTTTGATCTCCTCCGCCGGCCGCTTCAAGTCGAAGGCCATAGGGAGTGGAGGGCGGGGAAGACAATTGAAAAAGATCCGAGATTGATCCAGGGGTCAAGTCAGGAGCTTGGGAAAATGGAGAAAGATGTCCAATGTAAGGTTGAGGAACCCAGAAGCATTTTATATTAGAATTCACTTGGTGTGTCTTCCTTGTCTCTTTATCCTGTTCACATTTCCATTCTATATCTTTAATGTTGGATACAGAACCAAATGAACAGGATAGAGACATGTGAAAGAAGAAAGAGATAATAGTGACTCCAGGAAATTCTAACGATAGAAGCTAAGAAACGCCAAAATGGCCCCGCGTGCAAACCTCCGCAAAGTCCGAGTATAAGTGGCGGAAGCAGGAGTTAACAGCACTTGGCGTTATGACATCCTAGTTTTCCCAAAACAAGTTTGGGCAACGTAAGAAAACACCACCGTCTCCCTTGGTTTCCCTTTGGGCTATGTAGCACCCAGCTTTCTTGCAAAGACGAAACTGTGGACGAAAGCGTACGCCTCACATTTCCATGACGAACAACCAAACATGACCGTGAGCCTGAGCAACAAACTAAAACAGTAGACTGGTCATGAACAGGAACAGGAACATCGGGGCACCATCATGTTTGTCAGTCCCGACTTTGGGTATTGTGCCGCGCGCTGACACAAAGCCAGTTCAATTCATTTGTAAGACCGGCTTTTCCGGCTCACACCCTTGTAAGGTGTTTAAGGGCTTCTGGCGCCGAGACGACTTCAGAGGAAGACCGCAAGGGAGTTTCCCGAAGCTTCCCCTGCGACATGCGACTTTGCATCTGCAAAAGGCCATGGTCATGGATGAGCCCGCGGTGAGTTAGTTGAATTCAACCTCCGGCGCGCGGGAAGGGGGGCTTGAAAGAGCTGCCTTTGCTTGGCGCTGGGGCCGTGGAGAGTGGGACTTATTTGGTCCGTGCTTGGCAGTAGCAGCGTTTTCAGGCGCCATACGCTACACTCACTTTTATGCTTATCATGTTCCGGGATTCAATTGTGAAATTACTCCCCGGCGGTGATGCTGGGGATGCAGAAGGACGACGTGCTTTGCGAAAAAAGGCGGGCAGGTGTGAGGCCGAGAAACGCAGCAGCAACATGCCCAGCATCATCGCCATGACGTAACGAAACAGTAGAGTCCCACGCAACGATGACGGAGTTTTTTGGACACAGCGCTCAATCCTCCTCCTGCTTATTGGGGGTTGAGGGCGGAAGCTTAACACGCTTAACAATCCGGCCTGTCACCCAAAGAGGCGCGTGCCTAGGCTTTGCCTTCCAACTGATGGTTGCTGTTGGTGCACCATCACCGCCCTCGCGGCCGAGCTTCGGAAAGGCTGAAAACACTGCAAATATGAGGCAGCCCGGCTGCGTTGCCAGCGTCGCCAACCCTTTCAGAAGCCCGTGTTTTGCGCATCGCCTGCATCCCTTGCATCGCTCGCGTTTGGGGCCAGTCTTCCCAAGCCAGTTGTGATGATGGCGTGCGCGCGCACGTGCGCAACGCGCAGGCCGCACGCACGCACGCGCACGCACGCGCGCAAGCACGCACGCACACAACCAACCAACAGCGACCAACCAACCAACCAACCAACCAACCAACCAACCAACCAACCAACCGTCCGTCCGTCCGTCCGTCCATCCAGGATACCTCCGTCCATCCGCCCATCCACCCATCCACCCATCCACCCATCCACCCATCCACCCACCCACCCACCCACCCATCCACCCACCCACCCACCCACCCACCCACCCTCCCTCCCTCCCTCCCATCCATCCATCCATCCATCCATCCATCCATTCATCCATCCATCCATCCATCCATCTATTTATCCATCCATGCATCCATCCATCTATCCATCCATCCACCATCCACCCACCGACCCACCCACCCACCCACCCACCCACCCATCCATCCATCCATCCATCCATCCATCCATCCATCCATCCATTGATCGCCCGTCCATCCATCAATCCATCCATCTTTGCATTCATGTCCGTCCGTCCGTCCGTCCATCCATCCAATCATGTCTGTCCGTCCGTCCGTCCGTCCATCCATCCATCCGCCATGCATCGCGTCCATCCCTCCATCCCGCGCGGCGGACGTTCGAGGCCGGCGCGCGGAGTAAGCGTGGACCAAGATCAGCCCAAAGCTCGTTGCCTCCCACCAAAATTATCTACTCCCTTTTCAACTAACAAAAATGGAAGTGGCAGGACGGCCTTTAAAGAGGATGGTCATCTTTCAAAAAGAGGGTAAGCAACAAATGGTTTCAATTTCAGACACTGGACTGAGTTCATCGGCGGAGTTGCGGGAATTTACTCGCGTAGGTTGTTCGCTCGAGACATGTCTGATATTGATATGACTGTGCAACTTAGAGTACTTCGGTCAAGCACAAACTCATGACAAATTTCTACTCACGAGGGACCCCCGCCCGCGGCCCGAACCAAACGACTTTCATTTTTGAAGGAACCTGCATCGACGCCATGATGCCCACCAGTTGCTTCTCCACTTGTATCACGGAGGCGGTGGAAACTGGAACCGGCCGGCGCTCCTCAAATCGGGCCAAGTGCCAAGTTGGGCCCAGGGCACTATCCGACCAGGCTACCAATTTCGCTGAACTTGTGGTTCAGACTCTGAGGGTGTGGTGAAAGGGGGAACGCCAGGAGACATGCATGTCACAATCAGCATGCACACTATGCTACAAACAACAACAAGGATAAACCGTAGAGATCTTGCAGGTTTCCACAACCTGATTTGACATGTGCACCATGCAATCTGGGGTGCACATTTCCGTGCGGCGTCATGGGCTACGCGAGCCGGTTCAAGACATGCAGCGGCATCCAGAAAGTTTACTCCCACAAGCCCATCGCACGCCAACAAGGGCCCCGGGTCTGGGCTTGACTGTCCAAACGTTTGCCACGATTGAACCACTGCCTACAGAAAGCAGTGACAGGCCAGCCGGCCATGGTTAATGGCACGAACACCGACGTACATGTACTGCACCCGCTATTGGGTAGGGACTTAGATGCTCCGGCAGCATCGGCCAAGGCAAAAGGGGGTATTCTTTTGGCGATTCAAGTCGAGGCCTCTGGGAGTCCCTGCGTCCTCTATGATCACATGCTCGCCCATGTCACTGTCGCCATAGCCGATCTCGCCCGCGCCCACAGGGGAAAAAGGCCAGTCATTTCCGGAATGGACCGACATCCCAGGGCTTCATCTGAAACGGCCGCGGGCGGGTTTCGGTGGGCCCAGATAGACGGTGCAAAAAATAAATTTCAGTGGGTAGAATCAGTGGCTACAGGTTCTGGGTTCATTGCCTACTTCAATGACCACAGGCATGCAACGTTTCCTTCCTTCCTTGCATTCCTCGCTTCAAACATCCCTTTCATCAGATTGCCCAACACCTGGACAAGCAATGGTTCCTGAGAATCAGAGCCGGGCCAAACAAGCAGGGAAGCTCAACCAAGTAATGCTGGTCGGATCCCGACTCCAAACCACAGGCAAGAACCCCGACAAATCACAACCGATCCGCACTCCTCCAAGGTGTGTCAAAGCATGCGGGTAAGTATTTCTTGAGGTTGCCCGAAGGTTTCAGGAAATAAAACGGAACACCAATATGTTTCATGGACTCCTCCTTGAGACATAGCCAGAGCCAAAGGGTGGACACCAAGGAAAACCCACTGAAGGGTTTTCACCGCTTTGCATGCCAACTGACCTGCGCACGAAGGTCAGGGAAACCACCTTTTTGCGCCTGTGTAGTGAGTAACTGAGTATTTGTACGAGCGAGATACGCGATAAGTCCAACGCCTTCGGCCTGCAACAAATGCGAATGTAGGAAGCTCAAGAATAAGAACTCTGTTAAAACATGTTCCCCAAGATCTCCAAACACCTAGGGATTTTCTTCCGGGAAACATCGGACAATATTTCAATTTCTAGGCAGATCCGTAGAGCCAGTCGCACGTCCGGACCAATTGATTGTTTTTCCAGCAGGTTAGATATCTATGATTGTTGGATAACCCAGATAAATTAAGTGTGCATATATATATACATGTACACAGCACATATTCAAACGATATAAGTTACTTTATTGATACTATTCGCTGACGTCTAAGAAACCTCAAATATCTCTGCTATCTATTCAATTGAATCCGAATCGCACAATTCACAAAAACAACAACACGTTTGTACATATATACTTCAGCAAACAGGACCAAACGCAGCAAACGAGCCAGCGTTGCCTTTTCCACTAGTTTGTTTTAGGCAAGTCCTCTTCGTAGGCATCCTCGTGCCCCCCGCCCCCTCACCCCAAAGGTTGCGAAGCAGGCATATCCAAGTGGCAGGCGGCAAAGCATGCGCCCGGGCAATGACGGCAGGTGCTAAACCAGTCCAGCCCAGAAAGGGCGGGAAGGCCCTGCCATACCACCCCGAGCTTCCCACCCACACCGCCAAGTACAAACCTCAAAACACACAACTTCAACCAAAAAACACCATCGACTCGTGCAGCATTTATGTTTATCAGCATCAAACCTTTACCGTCTATATGTATCGAACCATATCAACCATTTATCTCCAATTCATATACTTTGCATTTCATTCATCACATAGATCTAGTCTTAGATCAGTTTCAGGGGCCCCGCCCAGCCACCGACTGAACAACCATGGACCCACCGACCGTCCGAAAATCCAATCTTGCCCTAAAGACCTGGGAAAGAACATGAGCCAAGCCTAGGGAAAGCCAACAGCAGCACCGGGGCTCATGTATTGGATACCGACTTGTATTCCGATTCATCTAGACACAAAAGTTGTTGTGAAGCACGCAATGGCATACAAATGACACAAGCAAGCATATACACATCAGCAGCAATAACAATCAAATCAAAACCTGCCGAATCATGACATTGTGGATGTTATGTAGATGATAATTCCGAGTCGGCGTGCTCATCTCTCAGTGAACATTTGTCCATGCTCGTGGACGTATCATGTCTGCCGAGGCTGCCTTTGACAGTGTCGGCATCTAGCATGCAGGATGTCACCCAGGATGCTACTCCATCGGCTGCTGTGAGAGTCTTGGAATGCCACTGGTTGAAGAGCAACACCTGCTTGCAACCAATGACAACACATTCTTGTGGACCTGCCACTTCTCCATCAAGCCAAGCTTCCAAAACTGCATACTCTTATTCACATGGTCATCCGTGGGAAGCAGCGAAGCTTCTACTGAGTGGCAGCTCAATAGAACTTGGTTGCATTGAACAGGATCCTTCCAGCCACTTCCAAAAGAAACAATCCACTGTATGATGAACATCCCGGAACCCTGGGCGCTGATGCCATGCATCCCAACAAGTACTTCTTCGTGGAGATAGCAGCCGCCAGGAAACCCTACCGGCTCAGTCCACAGTCCCGCTGCTCGGGGTGCGTCTTGCCAAGGCAGAGAGGCCTCAAAGGCTCGCGCGCATTTGTTCGCGACTTGTGACTCACGAAGCGGCCAAACACAATCAAACACAAGAAGCAATGTCGGGCACAAACTGGAAACTATAATGTTCCACGTCACGGCTTGCCCGCTTTCTTTCGCGGGTTGCAATGTCACCATGAGACACTTGTGACGGGTATCCACTTCCAGCCTACTAGCGTTCAAGAGATAGTATGCTTGCGCTCATGATTTTAATGGCGCCTTTTGGAAATGAGCCAAGATCTGGCTGGTTGGATTGATCCCGATGGAGGACTTGAAAAGCCCCTGGCTGGCACGTCAAGGATGAACAAAGAAAAGGTTTCTTACGAGGCAGCCCTGCATGGTCTCGTGACAAGCCACACGAGCAATCAAATGAAGATGCACTGTATGCAGCTCCAAAAAGATGCGCCAAATCACCCGCGAAACAGTCAAAGAGTGACTGCTGCCAATGAAAAACACATCGAGCAATCATGTGCAAAGCGACGTCACCCAGTTATCTCCTTGGCACATGTAGAAGCAGCTGTCAGTGTTGGCGCAGTTCCATTGATGTCCGGCAGCACAGCGCGCATGTTTTACTTCAAAGCGCCATCCGGTGGCATCAAACATAATAGCTCTTGCTGCCCCTTTGCACATACAAAGCCGGCACAGTCCTTGCCCTGAGATGTGCTGCTCAATTCGAGCTTGTCTGGGGAGAGCCAACTTCGTGTGTCCGGAAGTAGGCTACTCTTCCAGAGCCATGCGCAACCAGCAAGAGAGCATTTGTCTGAACAACTTGCTTGGTGCCCTTTTCTCCTCGCACCCCACTTCTGGACCTTGCAAAGGATTTCTCGCCCGTAAGGTCCCGTGAGAAGGGTCCTCTGGCGCTAAGCGGCCAGTGCGAGCCAACACATTCAACGAGCGTTGCCGACTGTGCTGACTGTTCTGACAGTTGTAAATGTCAAATTTCGCAACTCACAGACCATGGTCCTACAAAAGGGCAAAGCTAGCTCTTGCCATCCGAAAGAAGCTGGATCAGGTCTGGATTGGAGAACAAGTCCATCAGCTCCTGTCGTCGGCATGGTCACCAGGGCGGTACAGCAAGATTGGTTTATGGAGAGCGTGTCTTAATCCCTTTTACCCCAATTTGACCTGTGCAATGATTTAGGAACCTAAACCATAATCAATACGCACTCGTCCTGGAATGCAGGCTTGGAATGACCGTCCAGGAAAACATGCCTGAACTTTGCAGTGATGATAGAATCAATTAGGCATAGCCTTGGGTGGCCTGCTCCGCTCATCTCAGCTTGGGTGCGGCGTGCAAGCTGCGTGTTCCTTGTCTTTATGCGCAGCTATTGGTACAAACCTTAGGCCTTCTTCGGGCGAAATCTTGCGGGACCATCGCCCGGAATCAAGCCACACAACGAGCCTTGGAAGAGATCTTCTCCCCCTCATCTTCACCTTCGGCATGCTGTGCTCATGTCGGAACCGACTCTTTCATACGTGCTCGGGAGCCTCCTTGCACCCCACTCGTGGAAACCAAAACATGTGCCATCCGCAACCATCCTTTCAGCACAGTTGAAACCTTCAAAATGCAAAACAGCTTTGTTTCTCGGAATGGTTCAGTTGACTGACGGATACCGTGCCTGCTTTTGGTTCATCTTTCTCCTCCGTGCGAGCCTCCCGAGTCTCCTGCAAAATGGCCAATGTGTTTAAAAAGTTTACGGGTTGTAGCTGATGAGCTCTATCGTCCATTCTGCATTGTAGCCTTCACAATATTTGCATGACAAGTCAAGTGCCTCAGACTCAACTCCTCAATGCATGCGGGACCTGCGGGACCCGCGGGCCCGCACATGGAATTATCTCTGTGAGCGGGCGCGTTCAGGGCAACCTCAAGGCAACTTCAAGCTGGCGCCTTGCGGCTTCAATCAGGGCGCCTTCACGGCAAATCCGTTCACGTGAAGTTCATGCTTCCTTTGAGTCGGTCACAATTCCCGCTGTCCCGCTGTGTGTGCGAGCGACTGTGGTCGGCCTGCTCCACCCTTCCACCCTTCGATTCAGAACTCAAGCTTCGGTACTTTCAAGACTGGAAGCCAGCAGTTCAAAGAACTCAGTCACTGCATCACCCATCACTTCGCAGCTGCTCCTCATGCTCCTTGGGTGGCTGTGCTTGTGTCTCTTCCTTCACCTTGGGCGCATCAGCCTAGGCCAGGGGAGCATGAAATTGACTCACCTCCACGTTGACGTGAGGCATCTAGCCAAAACACCATCTCTCTTTCCGGTCTACTGCTTGCTCCTGCTTTCAGGACTCCTCTTCATCAGGTTTAGTGATGAGTCTAAGGCATCTTCAATGGCACAAACAGTGAATATACCCGTTGCGTTAGCAGATTTCTCCGTGTTGTTGCAACCTGCTGCAAGGAGGTTGCAAACACGAAAGCGCAACAGGAGTACAGCATATTTTAATAGAACTTTACTCTTGCGCTTTCATTGGCCAAACTATGAAAACGGGTTCCCAAGGCGAAAAGGGAGCAGTCAGGCCATGGAGCGGTGCCAATGATGCCCAGCAAGCTGCCGCTGCGGGGGATGTGCGTGTTGAGCTCGTAGAGCGCCTTCAGGACCTCGTCAGCCACAAGGAACAGCTCAGTCTAGAAGGAGCAAGTGAAAACGGGCCAGGATTTTATACAATAACTCCACTAGCACGCTGCCACACAATCAAACAGAAGTTAGTCAGACTGAGCAAGCCTAGAGCTGGTGAAAGCAGAATTATTTGCGCACGCCCCCGAGCATGCCAAAGGCC